TGTCCTCATTTCACTAACTGAAACCCGGGTAACCTGAAATAGTAAAGATGTCTATGCCATTCCTGGGTTTCACAGCCATACAAAACTGTAGGCCAACCAAAAGGGGGGCACAGCCATATATACCAGACCAAATAGAATGTTCCCCTAAATTGCACAAGGGAGAACTGGGGGAAAATAAAATAGCCAAATTCAAATCCAAATACCTCAAAAACCCCTACATTGATAAACATCTACAGATTTTTCCCCGTCAAAAATTTGCCAATTTAGTCAAAACCTGGGAAAATGATAACTGACACCATAACAAAGATCACTTTTCTACTTCAGGGGACTTCAAAATAAAAACCCTGCAAGACCCGGAAACCCCCACGTTTCGAATTCACAAACACAATGAGTAACGTAGGCTACCAACAGTAACAAAACCACAAGATTACAGAGACAGTTTTCCCACTTTACCCCACTGGACCAACACCTATCCCCTTTAAAAACAGGCAAATTTCAAAATAACCCCCAGACCCCTACCCTACTTTCCCTAAAAAAATTTGGGAAACTACCCCCCAAAAACATACTAAAATCACCTTCAGCTTACAATGAGGGGAGCCCTTAAAAACTTCACAACACAAAAAAGCATTGACGCCACTGAGCTAAAACCATAAGATATTGACGAAGTATTAATAATTTTTAAAAAACCCAAAACCCCTATAACAAGCACTGCCCAAAAAAAAACTAAAAAATAAAAGCTAAAAAACTGAACAGTCCCCTGGCTAACACCCAGCATTCTCAAAAACCTAAAAACAAAAACCAATATGAAAAAAAGTCAGAATGGGGGACTAACCAAGACCAAACAAAACGTTTTCGTCAATCCAACCAGCCTGATAAGAAGGGCAAAAAAATTTTATTATAGAAAATTATCCAACTTACAGGGTATAAAAAAAGACCTGGAAAACCCATCAGAAATTCGGGAACAAAAAAGATATCATGAAAAAGCGAAAAAAAATTGCAAATAATAACCCCAAACCCCCCCAAAAGAAACCAAACAATCAAAATTTTTTCTTTTCCACTTAGGAAAAACCTTTCCAATAAAATCCCAAGCTCAATTTCCCCCCCCAAATGACTACCTACCGGGAATCCCCAAAAACACTGTCCTAGTTCCGACTAAACCCCTCGAAGTCCCCCTTTTATCAAAGCCTAAAAAAAAGGCAGGGGATTTAAATACCTTACCCCCCTTTATATACAAAAAGTGTCACAATGCTAACCAATCTTGCAACACTCTTTAAAAAAAATCCATTGAAACCTCCACCTTCCCACAGTACTCAAAAAGCAAGGGCACCCCGATTCACAAAAAGGGGGAGACCAAACAAGTTTAATAAAAAGGCCAATATCCCAAATTCCCCCCTCCTCAAAAATTTTCGAAAAATTTAAACATAAAAACCCAATTTCTCCTACCTTACTCCCAAAACATATCAAAACCCTGCCAATTTGATTTAGGGCCCAATAAAAAAAACAAAAATGCTATTATACACATTTAGAACATATATACACTGCAATAGAGAAAAAAGAAGTCCCACTGGGGATCTCAGACTTACATAAACTTTTGATACATTGACCAGACTTTTCCCCCGTAAAAAGTCCACTATGGTATAAAGGGCACCCCCAACACCTCAATTCATACCTCAGCAAAAGCCCAAAATGTGTACCAAATGGGGGAGACTCTTCTGCACAACCAATTACATTGGGTTCCCCCCAGGGAAGTGCCCCTTGGGGCCCCCCTTCTCTTTCCATACATAAAAAGCCCCACCCAAAGCTTCGCAAATTTCCAAACCCCCACTAATTGCAGATGAACACATCGTTTTTCCCACCCGGCCCAGTCAGTAGCCAATACTGTAAATACCGAAATTTCAGAAAATATCTACCCGGAGAGGACTAAAAACTTACACTAAAAATTGAAAAACCTCTTTATTTAGTTTGGTAACAGAGACAGTTCCCTCTTAACAAATGATAAATGGATCACCTATCACAAAGCAACAGATGGAAAATTCTTAGGAAAACCCCCCTTTAAAATAGACTCAAATTTCATACACATAAAAAACAAAATTTTAAAAAAATTTTCCCAAAACTGAGGATACTATCGAAGATACGGTACTATGCTCCACAGTCGCCCCCCTGGCCCTATACACTCTTTATTTACCCCATCTCACCCAGGAATTTTTGATGGGGCTCAACAACAATTAAAAATTCCCGACCACTAATTACCCAAAAAAAAGGCTGCAGTTAGAAGATACCCAAAATTTTCCCCTACAGGAGCCCCCACCCAAAATTAATACACTAAACCCACTCACCATACAAAACATCCATTCTTATTACGCACCTATTTCAACTAAACTTTAACTCTATATTAAACCCCCCCTCAAAAATCTCCTTGCCAACCTCAACAGAACACCAAACCCAAAACAAGGCACAAACACTCTTGATGTCCTCGTGTCCATCCACACTATGCAAAAACTCAATGGGAATAAAGGCCCTAAAATCTGGAATTATTACCTGTAAATTTAAAAGAAACACTACCGTTTAAATTCAGTCTCTTCTCAAAGTCACCTACTCACCCAAAACCAAATAAATACTGAATAATGAACCTTTTAAATTTTATCTTAAATGTTTTCACAATTATATCACAAAAAGTTAAACCCAAAACCCAATCTAATTTATTTTTTTTTTAAAAACACTACCCAACAAATACTCCCTTGACTGAAGTACAAAAATGATGCAACCCTATGACCCGTCTTGTTACTCACTTGTGCTTTATAGTAATCTTTTTACTTAATGTTTTGTCCTGTTTCATCTTGCTTTTTAAATTTTGTTAATTTTTGCCAGCCCGAATTTCATGCATAAATTTAATGGGTTTTGGGATGCGCTCTTAAACTGTATTTTTTTGACCTCTGTTGTGTGCCAAATTGTAAATAAAAAATAAAAAAGAAAAAAAACTCAAACCTACAAATAAATACTCCTACAAAAAATAAAACTAATCCTACAAAGAAACACTACATCCTACAGAAAAAATGCACACATCCTTTAGAAGAATACACACATCCTTTAAAAATGCATTTCTCCTACAAAGATGCACACAACCCAGAAAAATACACTACATCTCAAAAGAATACCGCCCTTTTTAAAAAAAACAAAATCCTTAAAGGAAACTTACAACCTCAGAAAATACACTAATCCACAAAAATACACAAATCCTAAGAAGAAACACCCACATCCTACAGAAGAATACACTACATCCTTCAGAAAAACACTACACCAAAAAAAAATGCCTAACCTACAAAGAATGCACTAATCCTACAGAATGCATACATCCACAGAAGAAAACACACATCCTACAGAAGAATACATACATCCTTAAAAAATAACTCATCCTACAGAAGGATGCACACATCTTTAAAGAAAAACACTACACCTTCAGAAAAATACCACACCCACGAAAAATACACACATCCTACAGAAAAAATACACTCACCTACAGAAAAATCACAAATCCAAACCCTAAATGCCTGCATCCTACAGAAAAATCACTCATCCTACAGAAGAAAGCATTAATTCTAAGAAAATGCACTCTCCCACAAAAAAACAAAACCCCTTCAGAAGAATACACTACATCCTCCAGAAGAATACACTACATCCTACAGAAGAATACATAAATCCTACAGAAGAATTACACTACATCCTACAGAAGATGCACACATCCTACAGAAGAATACACTACAGTGGACCTCCGGTTCCCGATGTTACCGGTATCCGATAAATTCGGTTGCCGATGCATTTGATCGAAAAAAATTTGCCTCGCTTCCCGATACAAAACCCGGGTTGGCGATACGATTCGTACGAGACGTGTCACTTGTGGCCTGAACTCCCCAGTGCTGTACCAGTGTTTACAAACCAGCCAGTTGTGGTGCATCTAAGGCTACATTCGGTATCATTCCATATTATCCATATTATCACTGTTTTTTGTGCTTGTTTCTGCAAAATAAGTCACCATGGGCCCAAGGAAAGCTCATAGTGCCAACCTTCGAGACCGAGGGTGCTTAATGACTGTTTAGAAATGAAGCAAGAGATAATTGCAAAGTACGAAAAGTGGACGTGTGTGTGTGTCGGAACTGGTGTCAGGTTTTTTTAGTAAAACCCAATCAACCATCTTACTATATGAGCAGGAAAATGGCTATCAAGGAAGATGTTCTTGCAAAAAGGTGCAAATGTGATTACGAAACAGCTACGCAAGTGTTAGAAGAATGTTGAGAGACTGTTATTGGGTGTGGGATAAATGAAAAAAAAGATAGCAGGAGATAGCATCCTCTCAAGCGCTATTTGTTGATAAGGGTGATGAAAATCACCTCACACAGCTTTTGAAGCCATGCTGGTGACTATTACAACTGACATATGTTGTGTAAACACTTTAGGAAAGTCATAAAGGAACGAGAGGTACAGGCCTCTATGGACAGATATGTTTGTGCGACAGAAAGTCCAGTGACTCTAAGTGGCCCTAGGGGCATTAAAAGAAAAAGGTAAGTAACCCCAGAAAAGGACTTGCTACCTCAAGTCCTAATGGAAGGGGATTCCCCTTCTAAACACTAAGACCAACCACACTCTCCCCTCCTCCCATCCCATCAATCATCACCAGATCTTCAATGAAGGTAAGTGTCATGTAACTGTGCATGTCTTCTTCAGTTTGTGTGTATTGAAATTAATATTTCATGTGGTAAAAAAAAAAAATTTTTTCATACTTTTGGGTGTCTTGCACAGATTAATTTGATTTCCATTATTTCTTAGGGGGAAAATTGATTCGCTTTCCGATAATTTTGGTTTACGATGAGCTCTCAGGAACGGATTAATATTGTGAACCTGGGGTCCACTGTACATCCTACAGAAGAATGCATTTCATCCTACAGAAGAATACACTACATCTCTCAGTGGAACACTATAATGATACATCTTTTTCTTTTTTCCAGCTCAACCACTTTGCATACAGTCTGCTGGAAAAGCGAGCCCAGAAGCTGGTGAGTGTTCTCTTACTATTATATATTGTATATTAGAGTAGATTATTTATAACTAACGCCTGCCTTCACTCTGAAGGAGTGGTGGGATATTCCATGTGTAGTGAGCTGTAATGTTAGTAGTATACTTTCGGCAACCAGTGATTAAGTGAATGATGGTGAAAATGTTTTGTTTTTTCAGGTCACCCTACCTCAGTGGGAGACAGCCAGTTTTTATATGTATGCTGCGTGTTTTTCACCAGGGCAAAGTGACCCAAACATGAAATGTTCACAACTCATGAAATCGTAATGACACGATTGCAAACAAACCATACCCAATCGTGTCATTACAATTTCGTGAGTCATGTTGACGGCAGTGAAGGGACTTGAGCTAGAGTTCGTCACGGCCACGCTAGCTGGAGATTCGTCTGTAAAAACTTGCATTTGTGGTCACAGTGGTGCCCGTGCTAACCTTCCTATGGTGTAGAAATATACCTAGTTGGACGAATCTTATTGTGGCTAGCTGGTCTAGTGGCTAACGCGACGGGCTGGAGTTTTGAGACTCTCTGACCGCGGGTTCAATCCCGGCCGGGGTATGGTTTATGAAATGTTCACGTTTTGTTTTTTAAGCGCACAAGCTGTTATAGCCGGTATTTTAGTTGCGTCTTATGATGCAACTCTCAACTTTCCACCTTGGGTGTTAGTGTGTCTCAGTCACGTTCAGTTGTACCTCGTCACAAGAGAAAACTAATATTTTTGCATAGCCAGGCCTCGGACTTGAGTAATGGTGATGATAGTGATGTGGACTTGGATTTTATTGCTCTTGATGATCATTCTAGTAGTGATATTGATGGATCATATTCATCAGTGAAGCATCAGTATATATGCCCCTGCATGTGCTCAGGTAGTGTACCATACGCAATTCCACGGGGACAGAGTGCATCCCAGAGTACATCCCGTAGCCCTACACTTGGAATAGACAGTGAAAATGAGGATGATGTGGCTACACTTGGTATGGATAGAGCACAGGCATCAGTAGGGTTGGTAATAGTGGTGATAGTGGTGGTGGTGCCATGGCCATGCACCATGATGCAACAGCCAAGGCTGGGACCTACGCTGCTGACGTAGCAGATCCAGGACAAAGCAGAACATCATCCACCCCCACACCACAACCACAACTGCAACTACAACCAGTTTATGATATCCAGTATCCACCAGCAAACTGCGTCTGGGATTGGCAGCAAAATCCCAATTTTGTTCCCAATCCCTATCAGTTTGATGACTCTCAAAGTGGAGTCCTGCCAGCTTGTTCCCTTGGAAACACTGCAAATGAACTGGAATTCTTTGAACTATTCTTAGACCTGCCCTTGATGGAAAATATTGTCAGGGAAAGTAACAAGTATTTTGAGTACACAATGGCAAATACAGTCATATCACTCCAGTGAAGACTACACCGGTGGAAAGAGACGAATGTGGCTGAAATGTATTTTTTTTTTGACACATTTTGACACGTTATACAAGATTAGAAATGTGTTTATGCATCTGAAACAAAAGTTCAACATGTACTTTTATCCATTCAAGAATCTTGTAATTGACGAGTCTTTGATTTTGTACAAAGGCAGATTGCCGTTCAAGCAGTATATTCCGAGCAAGAGGAAACGCTTTGGTATAAAACTGTTTGTACTCTGTGATTGTGAGAGTGGCCTGGTATTGGACATACAGTAATTGTATACATAGGAAGTAAAACATTGAAAGATACTAGGTTGTTATTGGGTACCTCAGGTGACGTAGTGAGAACAGTGATGGCACCATATCTTAGTAAGGAGCTTACATTATATATTGATAACTGGTACACAAGCCCCTTATTGATTTCTTGCAAGTGAACATGACATGTGTGTGGCACAGTGCATTCTAATCACAAACATATGCCCAGGTTTAGCACAGGCACTCGTAGTGGTGAGGTGCAGATGTTTTACTGCCTATTACATCATGGCATTATGGTGGCATGATGAACGAGATGTCACATTGTTGACATCTATTCACCATAACAAAATGGAAAACAGGGGCAATGTGGATAGAGTGACTAATGAACGTACATATTCTAAAACCAGCAACAGTGATTGATTATACACAAAACATTCATTTGGTTGACAAATGTGACAGGCAGATTGGCTTTGTCAATTGTGTTCGTAAGAGTTACAAGTGGTACATGAAACTTTTCTTCCATCTCATGGACATTTCAATGCTGAGTGCATATAATATGTACCAAATAAAGATTGGCAACAGACCACTGCATAGTTAATTTTGTTTATCTGTTGTCAGACAATTAAAAATCAAGTACAGTGGACCCGTTGCTAAATTAGACACATGTGCAACTCTTGGGTATCTTTATTTAGGAAACATTTCGCCACACAGTGGCTTCATCAGTCCATACGAAGGATAAACTTGAAGAACAGGAGGAGAATAAGGTAATCAGCCCCTCAACCTTGAGTCGATGTGGTCATTCCATCAATCTTGAATAGAATACAGCATATGAGCGGAGAAGCAGCTTATGAACCATATGGCAGGAGAGGTGCAGCAGTCGTAGGTGGCGTCACATTTGTCCAATGTGGAAGTAGGTCGTGCCCGAGGGTTAGGCAAGCGAAGAATTCCCAAGTATTAAGATCCCAAGAAATTGCAGTGTCTGACAGGATTGTAGATGAATGGTTCTAAGAACCGACACATTGTTAAATTAGACACATGTGGAGCTCTTGGGTATCTTTATTGAGGAAACGTTTTGCCACACAGTGGCTTCATCAGTCCATATGAAGGATAAACTTGAAGAACAGGAGGAGAATGAGGTAATCAGTCCCTCAACCTTGAGTCGATGTGGTCAGTCCATCAATCTTGAATAGAATACTGCATATGAGTGGAGAAGCAGCTTATAAACCTTATGGCAGGAGAGGTGCAGCAGTCGTAGGTGGTGTCACATTTGTCCAATGTGGAAGTAGGTTGTGCCCGGTTCTTTGAACCATTCATCTACAATCCTGTCAGACACTGAAATTTCTTGGGATCTTAATACTTGGGAATTCTTCGCTTGCCTAACCCTCGGGCACGGCTTACTTCCACATTGGACAAATGTGACACCACCTACGACTGCTGCACCTCTCCTGCCATACGGTTTATAAGCTGCTTCTCCGCTCATATGCCATATTCTATTCAAGATTGATGGACTGACCATATCGACTCAAGGTTGAGGGGCTGATTACCTCATTCTCCTCCTGTTCTTCAAGTTTATCCTTCGTATGGACTGATGAAGCCACTGTGTGGCGAAACGTTTCCTCAATAAAGATACCCAAGAGTTGCATATGTGTCTAATTTAACAACGTGTCGGTTCTTTGAACCATTCATCTACAGTGGACCTCCAGCATACGATATTAATCCGTTCCTGAGAGCTCATCGTATGCCAAAATTATTGTAAGGCGAATTAATTTTTCCCATAAGAAATAATGGAAATCAAATTAATTCGTGCACGACATCCAAAAGTATGAAAAAAAAAGTTTTACTGCATGAAATATTAAGTTTAATGCACACAAACTGAAGAAGACATGCACAGTAAGTAGTACTCTACTAACAATAGAATACATGACACTTACCTTTAATGAAGATCTGGTGATGATTGATGGGATGGGAGGAGGGGAGAGTGTCGAACCTATTGTTTAGAAGGGGAATCCCCTTCCATTAGGACTTGAGGTATCAAGTCCTTTTCCAGGGTTACTTCCCTTCTTCTTTTAATGCCACTAGGACCAGCTTGAGAGTCAGTGGACTTCCGTCTAAAGTGGTTCACAACATTGTCATTATAATAGTCACCAGCACGGCTTGCAATAGCTGTGTGAGGGTGATTTTCATCCATAAAGGTTTGCACTTCAAGCCACTTTGCACACATTTCCTTAATCACTTTTTTCAATTCCATACTAATTCTCACCCTTTTTACCACAAGGATGGCACTAGAAGCTTTCTTGGGGTCCATGGTGACTTATTTTGTAGTTACAAGCACTAAAAACACTGGGATAATGTGAAATGTATCGAATGTATGCGTAGATGCGACCGCACTGGCTGGCTTGTGAACACTGGCGCTAAGGCCAGATATAGGACGCGTCTTGGACGAGTCGCATGAGGCGAGGAAAAATTTTTGCGTTAAAATGTATCATATGCCGGATTTAACGTATGCCGATGCCATCGTATGCCGGGGGTCCTCTGTACCAGGTAACAACACCTGCTATACAAAACCTTCCAAGAACTGATCAGGAATTAGCCAAGCATTTGAGGCGGGAAGGTGATCACTTCCTAATACAGCTTCCTGCAACTAAGAAGAAATGGGCTCAGAAGAGATGTGTCTGTGCACAAACAAAATGACAGCAACAAAGAAGCAAAGACTCTCGGTTTATGTGCGAGAAATGTAAGATACCACTGTGCATGATACCTTGTTTCAAAGACTTCACAGACTGCAGCAGTTTTAGAAACATGTCCAGTGATTGTACATATGTAAATATATGTATATTACTAATATACAACATTTGTGCATGTTTATTGTTGTAAACAATAATGGTAAACAATATTATGATAATAACTTTAGTGCGGTTATTGTGCTCATTACAATGAGTGTACATACAGTGGACCCTCATTTTTTGTAATTAATCCGTTCCAGAGTGTGTGATTAATGGCGAAATTAACGATTTGCAAAACCATTTTCCCCATAAGAAATAATGTAAATTCAATTAATCTGTTCCAAACCAAAAGTATTAAAAAAAAAATTTTTTTTTTTACATACAGAGAAAACAATGATACATGAAGAATGAAGCAATACTGTAATAACATCAAACTTACCTTTATTGGTGTATGAATAAAATATGTCATTACATATGCTAGGAATTGTGGTGGCAGCAGGGGTGTGTGTTTGGAGACAGGACAAGATAGTCCTTCAATATGACATAATAAACAATAATAATAACAGTGAAACATGACATACATTCTAGAATAAATAA